TATATATATATATATATAGAGTTTTTTATTTTCCTCACCTGAAAATTGACGCAAGACAGTTTGAAATTCGCTGTCCACTTTTACGTTATTCACTGCACATGTGATGAATAAATTATCAGAAAATGACACTTCACTTGACGACAAAGATCTGAGTCATAATATGCTTTCTCTTCATTCTAAAGGCACGAGGTAAATCGAACAAAGCGATCCAATCTAACACGTGATTTACACGACACAGAGAATGATTACGTGATTATATTTATCCGATTTAATCGATTTTCAAATGTGTTATTGGACAGCTTAACATAAAAATGCGCGCTTTGTTGATTAGAAATCAAAATAGAATTTTAGATTTCATATTTCTGATGAGTCAAACACACGTTATATTGCAAACTACAATATTATTTGCAATTCATTAACTCGCTACAGTTGTTTGCACAGCGAGAAGCCAATTTCGCAAAGCAATCATAGATGCGTAAAAATAATGATCTTTTTTTTTGCAACCGAAATTAAAACGTTTACATTTTTCATTTACATTTATACAACGTCCATCATCCGAGCCCCTACGTCTCATCTTGAATTTTAATAATGTCTATATCTATTTTAATTAACAATAAGATACAAAAAAATGTATTCTGTGAAATGTAATTTTTAATCAATCTTTTATTTAATAAATCGTTCCGCATTTTTTTAGAAATATATATTTTTTTATTACTATATATGTGTGCGTTACAAGCATTTGCTTCTCGCTATTTCAAAAATGTAGATAATAAAACGAATGACATCGTCGATAGTTAGTACATTTTTCAATAATTAATATTATATATTTATTCATGTAGCACATTGTTTCCGCATATTTGCCCACGCCATTATGACTTATTCACGTTCAAATAGTTTAACCCCAATTCACTCAACCAATTAAGTTAATTTACCCAGTATATGGTACTAATCCATCTACAGTTAAATAAGATCAATAAAATTTAATGTGAAAGTATGTACATATAATGTTTTTGAGAACAAACATGTGATCATTTGTGTTATATCATTTAATTCTTAAGGGAATTCTTAAGGGAACAGATGATTAGTCGTAATGTAAGTAGAACTTACACACATACGATTTACGTGTTATAGACACATCACTACGTACTATACTATTACAATATCTCATGCATACATACATAAATTTTTGTATAACAATAACGTTCTAATTAAATGTTTAAGCCTAATTCTAAGAATTCTACGTCGTTTCTTCGTACAAACTATTGATTTGTAGACTAATATTTTTACAAATTGCACAGTTTTTATATGAAATAATGTTGTCACAATGTGATAATATTGTCACGATGTGATAATGTTGTCACGATGTGATAATGTCGTCACGATGTGATATGGTTCTCGAACGCCATAATGGACTAAGAAATAATAAAGAAGATCTCAATTTCGAATTTTTTTGTCGTTCTCTTAGCATAAACTCTATCTTGTTTCTTAGGTTAAACTCCATCTCACAGATACATATTAATGCGTATACTTTTATCCTAAAAAAGGATTTTCAAATCTGTAGAAAAGAAAACAGTAATTATTATACAAAAATTAAGCGTTTAATCGGTAAAACAGACGTCTTTAGGATCCTTTTAACTACAGTGCGTGCGTGCGTGCGTGCGTCGTGCGCGTTGTGTGTGTGTGTGTATGTGTGTGTGTGCGCGTTGTGTGTGTGTGTATGTGTGTGTGTGTGTGTGTGTGTGTGTGTGTGTGTGTGTGTGTGTGTGTGTGTGTGTGCGTGCGTGTGTGTGTGTGTGTGTGTGTGTGTGTGTGTGTGTGTGTGTGTGTGTGTGTGTTTCGATCTGTATTGTATCACAACCTATATTCTTTCTTTTACTTGTTTATATAATTTGATAAATATTATTTATAAGCACTTATCATTATCTTATCATTATTAAGATGTCGAGTTAAGCAACAGTAAATGAAAATCATCGTAAAAAGACGAGATTAACGTATTGAAACATCGGTTGTTCGAAATTAATCTCTTAATTGATACATGTCTTATTAAAAGAGCAACATGTTTTTAAAAATTTCTTTTTTTTTTCTATCACTTATAGACCAATTATATCAGTAAAAATTTTTCATTTTTGAATAAAATAAAATTCCATTTTTTATAATTTTATAATTTTTTAATCAATCAATCTGTGGATTGATTTCAAAGATCTTAAATTCCACAGCAGTTGTTGCTCGTTAAAACAATATAGAAAAAATGAATAAAATAAAAATATATGTACATTAAAATTATCGAATATTTTTAGCAATAAATTTTTATAAGATGCTACTATGAAATTTCACAGAAAATCAGAAAAATTCATAAACAAAATAACAAACATATACTTCATTTGAAGTATATATCATGTACACAATTATAACAACAAATTATATAAATATATTTAACCCTTCAAAGCTCAAACACTTTGTGAAGACATTTGTATTTTAGTCTTCATAACTAATTCTGAATCAATACAAAAAAAATTATTAAAGATATCTATCATAGTTTTTCATGCTAAAAAACCGTTCACCAAATCCGTTCACCTTTTTTCCATTATCCTGCGTTTTTCAATTACTTCATATACAATAATACTTAACAAATCGCAAGTTTCCATTTTTACGAAAGCTGTTCATTTATTTTGTATTCAAATTTAATCATATATGTATTTCTAATTCAGTCCGTCATCGCGATTTCTCGCTCTACGGCAAACATTATATACATACGTTTAAATTAATAAATTATATACATACGTTTCACAAATCTATAATTTCTCCACACTAATTATAAACACGTCTGAAAATAATCTTTCGTTAAGAATTTTCTTTTTTAACGAAAAGCTGTTTATTTATTTATATTCTAAATGACGTACGCTTCAAATTTCTTATTTCTCAATGTTAATTAAACAAGTATCTCTGAAAATAATCTCTTATTAATTTCACAAATTCTTTTTAATAAAAGTTGTTTATCCATCTATTTTTTTCGGTCACAAGTTTTCAATTTAAGGACAGGAGCACAAAGTTGCGTATCACATAATACATACTGCATAAAAAAATGAATCAATTAATTAAAATCCTTCACTTCCTTCCTCCCCATGAAATAAAAGACTTTTTTTATGCATTATATCCTTTATGCATTATATGCAAAAATTTTTGCTTCGGCCTTAAGGCCGCAGCACAAACTTTTGCATAACGTATGAGAAAATTAACCAATCAAAGTTCCTCTTTTCCGTGAAATGGAAGGAAAGAAAGAATTCTGATTAGTTGATTCTCTTATATTTATGCAAAGTCTTTGCTCTGACCTTAAGATATATCTATACCGAAATTATTCAATCATATTTCTATCGTAAGGACATAAAATACAATTGCATAATTTTCTTTATACAGATATTTACCATTTAATTGTGCAAGTTGTGTGGATATATTCTGTAATCTTCATCGCTCCATTTGAGACGACCCCTTGCGCCAGAATTACAAACTATTTCTCCCTCTCTAAACCTCTTCTCAATGACGTCATGGACACAAGAAGAAAATAATTCCTGTTAATGATCTCCATAATTCACGCAGCTACGAGAAAGCGAGGGTAAATAAACATACGTGAAGGTATTCATCAGTCGTCATTGACTGGCGCGCACCGCTGCGCATCAGTATTCAGTATTCACGTTTTGTCACCGCAGGCAATATTGACAATGCGTGTGGATACATATACACATATGTAACTCGTGCAGTTACTCCGGACATTGTTACGCGAGATTATGGGCAGAATAACGCGGAGTTCAACCGACCAGGAGAAGCCGCAGCGGAAACGACGAAAGAAGGATCTCGATCGGATACACTCAAAGATCTTGCAGGCCAAGCGGAAATTGGTAGGTCGCGTTTTCAAATCCTTCCTCAATCCGTCCTCAATCCTTAGGATGATCGCGACCTCGTCGCACTGTATCCCAAGGACGACAAAGATATTGAAACTCTTTTTCACGATACATGGTTACATGTAAAGATTACAGGTTACCAAGAAATTCATGAACATATTTCATTGCTGAATCTCTTAACCTTTAATCTGTAGGTAATCATAAATTGGGTCCGTTTTCTGTAGCTGAACTAATATGTACTTATAAAACTTGGAGTGAAATAAATCTAATTAAATAAGAGAAATCCTAAAATGAAATAGATACATGTTTGATGTTTGATGAAAACGAGAAAGTTTGCAGTAGTCGGAATAAAAAACAGACCTATATTGTGTGAAAACGGCAAGTTGCAAATATCTCCATACTTGTGGTAGATTGAATGTGGTAGTCGCGCGTATTACGTAAGCACGATCGTTTCGCTAATGGGTGCTTTCCAATTGCAATATCCCTAGACACTTTCATGTATACAAGTTGTTCCAATTGTCCGTTATCGTCGACATAGCCCTACACATCTGTACTCAATCGAGGGCTGTGTGAGCTTGGTTTTAGTTACAATTACATTTTACTAACTGCGACGGCTATAAATAAAGTTGGAAGACATTAAGTGACCGATACTTTTACTTTTTTTTATTTAATACAGACGGAAAAAGCTTTAATCTAACTATTCGAAATGGATCTCAACCGTGCACAGCGTACACATTCTATTCCAATTGAATTGTGCACAATGATACACTTTGTGCATTCCTGTGTATGCGTTTGTGTTAAAATGTGTTAAGCAGTTGGAAAGCACCCAATGTTTTCTGACTTATAACCGATTAGATTTTTTGCATAGAAAAAGTGACAACATCGATTATCGGCAGTTGTTGTCATTTCGAAAAGCGCCGCGCTGTTTAGGTGGCATGGAGATGCAGTAGCTTCCGTGAGTGTTAGGTTAGTATCAACGTCAGGTGTTTACTGGCTCTGTTTACCGGCCCTCGTACGGTAATCCCTCCGTTTGCGTAGCTCGATCGAGATTATTAACACGCGTTATGCTCTCAGTGAAGTTTAGCTAAGACCATGATCGAGTAATAATTTCGTAGAACTCTCGTAATCTGTGAAACTACCTTTCAGAGAGAGAAAATTGTGGCTTAGAGACTAGAGAATTTTTACGTACTTTTAGATAAGTTACTGCTGAAAGAAATGTAATTTGCACTAATTTTGATGATATTATTCTTGTGATTGATATAATAGCTTGGAACTTATTACAGGATAAGATTGGAAAGGGTGACAACAAAGAACAGAAAAAGCAAGGTCGAGCAAAAATCTGCAATAGACTTTTGCCAGAACCTGTAAGTACTTTTATCTAATACTTATAAACCTATTTCTATTCTCAATGATAGTCCTATTATTTATTAAACATATTTGAATACTACTATTGTTTCAGGCTGCTGGCATATACAGAAATGGCGCAAAGGGTAAAAACATCCAGAAAGGTAATATTCATATTGAAATCATTTATTGTAACAATGAGCACAATGAAATGGTACAATTACTTTAATCCTTGTAATATCTTACAGCAGAGACATTGGAAAATACATACCATAAAGCCCGGCTAAAGGCAGATGCGTTGAAACTTCTCAATGGCGATACTCATAAATCTGAGTAAGTGAATGATAAAGTTTGATATAATGTATCAAATGGATACGTAATGATTTCTATATGTTATTTTATAGACGTATAGTGGAGATACCAATACAGAATAAAACTATTAAACAATCAGTAAATAAAGATTGCATACAAAACAATTTGGAATCGAATGAACTATGTACTCAAGAGCTAAGTCCTGTTCTAGGAAACAGACAAAGGTACATTTATTGTTTTTAATAGAATAATGTGCAAAATTTTTTTATATAAAAAAGATTTTATAATATTTTATTATAAATGTTGCACACACACACATATTAATATTGCAGTCAAAATCAGAAGCCATGTCTTGCTAAAAAGAAAGGTGAAGAAAATATTTTTGAAGACACAAATTTCAACAAAACTAAAAAACAAAACATCACTGACAAATCAAGACAAATCAATGTTCAAAAAGAAGACATATGTAAACGAAGACTATTCCAAAATGATAAAGAGCTATCAGAAACTATTATTACTAATTCAACAGAGTAAGTAACATATAATTATTAAGTCTAATAAAAAATATATTACATCAAATAAAATATTTTAGAATATTTGATGATACTGATCTTACAAAAGAAAATAAAACTAGTAACAAAGAAACAGAGTTGATAGGTTCAAAAAACAACAAAGATTTATTGTGTGACCCATTAAGTCGCTATATGGAATTCTGCAAAATCTCTGCTAAAAATTTTGAAACAGATATTCTACAAAATTATTCCTCAGGTATATTATATGTATACAGAGTAATTGTAACCTGTGATTATTTTTCTCATTATCCAGTAATTTATTAATCATTAACCATTATTTGTATTAGATCCTGTTACATCAACAATTAAAAAATTAAAACATGCTTATGCTGATTCTTTTCGTCAACAACTTTTGCGCAAAAAGAAGAAACAAGAATTAGAAAATACAAACCCTACACATTCTGTGGAACATCAAGCTTGTGTATCTTCGGACACTTCGCCATTATCACCTGTTGAATTCGAAGTTCCTAAGTGTAGCAAAAATCATGCTATTGCAGCTCATTTCCAAGAAGGTGTATCTCACAAAGATAACAAATTCCATTTAGTACAAAATACTAAGCTTAAAAAACGTGATGGTACAATGGGTTATAATTTTACATCTTGCTTATTACGAAATACTGTTACATCTAACAGTAACATAAATAACCTTGTCGAAAATTGTGAAAACGGCGATAATAAGTATTCAAAACAATCTAAAGACATCTGTCAACTTGCGAAATCAACAAATCTTTTTGTTGTAAACGAAAAAGATTCAGTCCAAATGGATTCTCAAAAAAATCCTAACTACGTTAATCATCTTTTAAAAAATAAACGGCATGATAAAGTTAACTTTTCTTTTGACATTTCTGATCATAAAAATTCACGACATGTTGATAATAATTCAAAATTCTTAGAAAAGTCAATATTTTTAAGTGATCCTGTACTATCAGAGAGACATTTTTCAAATGATTATTGCCGTGAAAAATTGCCTATTACTGTTTCCGACAATTGTGCACTAAACAATATATCTAAAAAATATAATAACAAAATAACAAATAATTGTGAGGTGAAGAATGTCAAACGAGTACCTGCTATCCTACGTCGATGTGTCGACATTCCTATTAATAAGCCTAATCATTCTGTACAGATTAATGGTGATGTGGAAGGCTTACATAAGAAATGTGAAACTAACCTATTTAATGGAAGTAACGGTACCAAAAAGGAATTATGTGAAACTATATTCCCAAATTCATACACAAGTTTTCCTACTCCTAGCATAGTAAACGCGATAGTTGATCAAACGAAAATATTAGAGCCTCAAATTGGATCGATGAAAATAAAAGATTCACAAGAGTCTCAAATCGAACAAATTAATGCAAATATGCATCCAAAGGAATATAATGAAAGAAATGAATTTCATCGATACCGTAATTTTTTGTATCCGCGACCTTTTGAAGTTTCATGTAATACAAATACTGAAAAATTGCTTCAACAAGAACAAATCTCACCAGATATAAGAAAATCTTTTTATCGTTCAAATAATTATCACCCGATTAATCATCTTCAAAGCGTAAGTTTATCTAATTCCAATGTAGAGTCAACAAAACAGTTTTCTCAACAAACTAAATTACATATGTGTGAAGCCAATAAGCAAGAACTTTATAGAAAAAATATTCGTGATCAAAATCAAAATATACTTTTTAATAATGTTAATGACAGAGCAATGTTAAACATCACCCAAGCCGAAAAAAGATCTGCGGAATCATGTCAGGAAAATCGATTTGGTAAAACAGACGTAAAGTGTACCAAGAACCAAATTAATGAAAATGCGTGTCATTGCAACGAACAGTATATTTATTTCGATTCTGCCAATTGTCCACGTAAATATAAGGAACAAGCGTATCGTTGTCATAAAGAAACTGCTCAGCCTGAAAGTTTATGCGACACAACAAGAGGCTATAATAACAGCGTAGATAATTGCATTAATTTGTCTAATTCTACGCAAAATGTACCGTTGTTAACTCTGAGGCAAAACGATGGTCTATATATGTATCCGAAAGCGATCGACAATCAGCATCGCGCAGTGTTATTGCAAAATGTTACTCAACCTGTAAAATATTTAGCTGTCGAAAATGGTTCGAATATTCAAAAAATTCCTGTGTATATAAATGATAGAAGTGTTAGGGTTGCGGAAAATGCCCCGTTGAAAGTAATAGCTGTAATGGATTCAAGTATCCAAACAAAAACATTTCCACAAGAAATTGCGACAAAGGTAGTATCATTACAAACAGATAATTTGCACTTTAATAATTTTGCAACACGTAAGATAAGCGATCAATCTTACGTAAAGCATTTAGATTCTGTGAACGCGATATTGTTAAATTCAGATTCGCAATCTAATATGTGTGTATACGCTCCGAATTTGTAATGTATACATGATTACAAGTACACCGTAGTATACACCAACATAATTGATCGTAGCGACACAGCACATCCATATTTCTTGCGAGAAATATTGTAATTGCAAGAAATGTGTGTGCTTTCCCTTCCCATACATATAAACATTTGTTATTAAGATCAAAGTTATAAGTCTGCCTTGAAAGGCAAAATTATGTCTATTTATTTTATAGACTAAATATTTTGTGGAAAGATAGGAACCTCTTGGAAAGAGGTATGTTTTGCGAATAAGAGGTATATATATTTTCATAAATGCTTTATGATACTTGTTAATAATTGATACACACGACATAATATATATGTGTGCGCGCGCACGCGTGTGTGTGTGCATTTTTGCTTATTTATCTTTCTACAAATGTGAAAGATAATATATTTCTAGTACTTTCTAGGTATTTTCTTAATGAATAATTAATATTTGATTTGGTATGGAAAATGAAAGTACAAAACTGCCTGTGATAGTTGGAACATATATGTATTATTATGTTACCGTTAAGTCATAATTCTTGGACATCAAATGTTTAACATAGGAGAAATTCATTTTCGTCAATCTCACAGCAATATCGATACATATATTAGTGAATTTCTGAATAAGTGTGATAAAGGCTTGTAAATAAATGTCGCAGAACGCAAAGTGTATACGGCAGCAAGATGGCTTGCTAATAAATCCCTAATATTTCCTAACTCGTTAGTTCGGAGCGGATTAATTGTGAAGCGCAATTAATTTTTTCACAAGAATCTTCTGCTGAAAGCACTCGCTTTGCTTTTTATTCTTTCCATTAAATTCGAAATAAATATTTAGAGATATCGATATGACAACATAGAGCGTGCACAAGGCGAGAAGGAGACGTCTCTTCGTGACGGTACGCGATACCAGAAGACCGGATCGACGTTGATTCTATTATTATTACGATTCGCTTTAACGCGTCAACGTCATGCGGAGCGGTTTGATTAAACGCGAGTACATTTTCTTTTACAATCACTTAGGAAGTACTCTAGGAGGAAGTCTCTAGGTACACGTGCCCATTCCTTGCCAAACGATACGATCGTTCGTTCCTACTGGTTCGGCACGCGACGGCGAAGCCGCGTGTTTACTCTGGGAATGAAGTAAATAGATCTCAGTCTTCAAAATTACTTTATTGTACCAAAATAAAGTCGTTAAAGAGTTAATTACGATCTCGCGGAAATCGCTCAATATGAAATCGTAATACATCATCTGTGTGTTGGTATATAGCTGGTAGAATGCTTATAGAACTGAAATTATCCAAGTCGGGTATTTTCGTGCGCCATACACAGCGGCGTTAAAATGCCATAACTCTCTTACGAACTTTATTTATAACATCCTAAAAGTTCGGACACCTTAATTTGTACTTTATGTGAGGATATCTTGGTTACGATAGACCTTGCTAACCGATTTTTAGTGTAGTTAGAACCATGCCGTGTCCTCTCGGAGATTAAATCGAGCGGCCGTATTCTCTTCTGGGAAAGAGAGAAAGAGGGGGAAAGAGAGAGAGAAAGAGAGAAGG